ATAATAATCAGGTTTGTAGAAACTAGAAAGAGTAATAACATTCACATTCTAATGACTTCCATTGCGTCAATATATCAATGTTAACATATAGTAAAAACTACATACAGTTTATCTTTATGACCAAGTTCAAGCCATGATAATTGATAACCCAATCTTAGATATTGCTTCACATATGTAAATCCTCAAACTCCAAAAATATTCAAAAGAAAAAAATATAAACCAATCTTCAACGCATTCAATATAGTCAATTTATCGAACCGAGCATCTTTAAGGAGTGAACAGAAGCACCTACAGATCTGCACGTCAAATGACCCCAAAATCAAATTCACGTCAAAATCTAGATCCGACCCTAATATCTCACATAAACAACGAAAAAACCTGATCCCGGTTACTAAAACATCCAATCAAATGTAACTAAATTTCAAAATATATTATAGAAAATACAGTCCATTAAAAATACAAACCCAGTAAACAAAAAACAAAATATTTGATAAAATGGATTGAAAAATCTGGAATGAATACTCACGGTGATGGGGGAGCCGGTGTTGAGCACTCGCTGGCCTCGAACAAGCCCTTCAGTACCATCCATGGCAATACACCTGACGACATTCTCACCCAAGTGTTGGGCCACTTCCAGAACCAACCTGATCTGATTATCCAAAACCTCCAAAGCCGTCAGGATCGGCGGCAGTCCTTCGTCGAACCTCACGTCAACGACAGCACCAATGACTTGGCATACTTCCCCGATCGCACCTTTACCAGTGAACTCATCGGTGATCTTCCCATTGGGTCCACCACTCGTAGCCTTAGATGGCGCCAATGGAGCTGATTGGGCAGCGGCAGAGGTGGCATACTGAGCAATACGGTGCAGGAAGTGGCCGGCAGGGGAGATGCGTGGCCGGGGCTTGGGGGCGGAGAATATGGAACTCGAGATACGGTTGCGCGAGGCGGAGGAACGGAGAATCGAGGCTAACAGCCTCCGGGAAGCCATTGCAGAGTGCTGATTTTTAGAGAGAGAGTGTGTGTACAAAAATGGAGAAGAGACTGCTAGGGTTTGTGCCAATAGAGGGAATGTGTGTACACTGTGATGCGATTTACTTTCTAGTTTTTACTGTATGCTTTAAGAATACTCTGTGGGATTAATTTTCGTTTGGCAGTTGCAAATGAAACGGCACCGTATAATCGGACAAGGAGTATCTGGCACGTGTTGAGTTTGTTGACTTGGTCCTATTCTATTTTCTTCTTGTTTTTCCCCTTTTTCCTTGTTATTAAGAGGTAAAACAAAAACCAGATTGGTATCAAAATATGAATAAAAATAGAATGAAATTGGGAAGTAGAAATAGGGTTTTCTTTTTCGTTTTTTCTTTTAACTTTACATTGCCTTCACTTGAGAAATATGGCCGTGGAAGCTAATATTAATATTTCATTTCACACCTCACATTCAACGAAAGTGTACCTTTACTATTGATGAGGAATGATAATGGATCAAACAAACTCTGCTCGACTCTCTAAAGCATAAGCTCTATTCATCCATTAAAAATGAGCTCAACCCACCCATTGGGATGGTGACTCATTGGTTGAGTTGAGTCAAGATTGGGATATCCACGAGTTTTTAATTTATTTTTTTAAAAAACTAGTTCTAAATTTTAAAAGAAGCAAAAAAAAAACTTTATTTTTCACATTTTTTTATAAGGTGGTTATATTGTCATCTTAATTTTTAGGAAAAATTGCAGCAATAGTCCCAAATCTTTGAATTTATAGTAAACTTTACTTTAATCTTCAGTTTGTATCAACGAAGGTCCTTAACCTTTGAGAAATCAGCATTCGAAGTCTCGTTAGTTGACCAAGAAAAGTGAACTTTGAACAATTTTGATCAAATTAAAAGGGTAATTAACAATTAAAAAAAAAAACCCAACGTCGAATTATAGTCTATTTTGCGCACTGGCAATGAGACAGGAATAAAAACCATTAATCACTATATGGAGTTTATTTCCCCAATTAACAACCCAAAAATAGATCAAATACAAACAACCAAACCTCAGCATCCGGTTGGTCCCGTTATTCCACATTATAATGAAAGTAATAGTGTGGTTAAAAAAGAATGACAAGTTTTTGAATTTACGTATAATATTATTTTATTGAGAAATGTGTGGTTGATAAGAAAAAAATAAAAATGAATTATAATTTAGTGAGAAATAGTAGGAGCCAAAAAGGGGGCCTATTTACGAGATCCATCTAAAACCACACAATTCTAGCATGGACTTTTTACCTTCTTGCACTTCCTCACCAGTCACGTGTTCCCCCGAAAAGCTAAGCCCGTGTTTGAGCCATATTAAAACTTTCATTCTCATTTTTCAACTCATTTTCAATCACACACTTTTCAATAAAATAATATTTTCCATCACATCAATAATTTTTCCTTCTTTTTCAATCACACATTCTCTATCAATCTATTATTCCAAAATACATTTTTTCAAAATAATGTGGCTCCAACACATCCTAAGAGAATTTCCACTCGGATGATAATGGTGGACCAGCCGAAGCTGCCACCACATCTTCACCATGATCACTGTTCATCTTCCCATCCCTGTTACTCTTACCATTGAGGCAATCGAAAATCAAATAATAAACAATAATCATTTTTTAAAAAATATGTATCTAATTTTTCAATTTTCACTTCATTAAACAGAAAATGCAAAAGTTTGATTTTTCCTAAAGAACAAACAAAAGCAATCGAATATCTGGGTTTGGGTTTAGGGTTAAGAATTGGAGGGGTCGTCAAAAAAAGTGGAAGATCGAAGCAATAAATTCATGAAAATTAATGACCCTACAATTTTATCGAATTTCAAGCATCAAAAACAAGAATTGCCAAATAAAGATGAGGGTGGGGTTGGGGAAGAAGATGAAGATGGGTGTGGTGGGTATGATGGAAATGAGAATGAGTGGGAGTGGGAGTGGGAGTGGGCGCGGGCGCGGGCGAGGGGCAGATTTTTTTTTTAAAGTTTAGTCGTTAATAATATTTGAGAAAATGTTAATTCTAAAGTTACCATTTTATTCATTTTAATTTAGTCAAAATTGGTCAAAGTCCACTTTTTTCTGTCAAGTAAGGATCGTTTTCTTCAATTTGGACTCTAACTACTAATTTTTTAAGGTTTGGGACATTCATTGACCCAAATTAAAGATTAGGATAAAGTCTTCTAAAAATTCAAAAGTTTGGGACCGTTGCTGAAATTTTTCCTCATTTTTATTTGGTACACCATTAATTGTAGTTAAATTCCTCAATCTTACTTGTTGTCAATTGTTTCCTGAACTTTTTCCGTCGAATTCTTATCTTCAATATTACATTAATTAGTACGTCTCGCCATCGATTATGATTTATATCAAAATATTTTATTTTCATGTTTTGAAATGAGAGAAAATATTTTTTCGCGCTTTTTATTTATTCTTTTTTTAAAAAATACGATTGAAAAATAAGTTATTTTACGTTATTTCAATAGACTTTTGGATATAAAATGATAAAATTTTTATTAAATACAAAATATGTTAACTAAAGGAAAGTTTGAAGATAAGAATGACACAAATAATCGGACATAAGTGCTATAATGAACAAATATTAAAAACTTTAAATGCAATTAAAATGTGGTGAAATAAATAAAAATTGTGGCGTGAATATAATTATCATTTTTATAAGTGGACTGCATGTGTTCCTTTTGCAAGCCAGCACCACCGGCCTTCTTCCAACACATTGGGGCCGTTCTTCATTTGTTGCAGCTGTTGTTGAGCTTGGAACATCTGCTGGACCATCTGGTGGATTTTGTTAATCATTTTTTGTTGGCAGCAGCCTCTCATCTTCGTTGACTCCATCAAAGTTGGCCGCTATTTGTTGTTCAACAACATTGTTGTTCCAAGGCCGAACTTCTCTTCATCAAAAACGACATCATGACTAATAACAATTTTCTTAGTGATGGGATTGTAAAGCTTATAAGCTTTTGATTTATCACTAACACCAAGAAAAATGAATTTTTCTCCGTTGTCATCTAACTTTGTCCTCTTCTGGTCTGGAAAATGTGCATAGGCAATACACCCAAAAATTCTGAAATGATCTATAGCCGGTCTCCGGTCGCTCCATGCTTCTTCTGGTGTCATATTTTGAACAGCGAATGTGGGACTTCTATTCAAAATATGAATGCTTCAGTTACTGCATCAGGCCAGCAAGTTTTGGGAATGTTGCTTCTCGTAAAAAGACTTCGCACCATATTTAACTTGAGCAATTATGCCCAACTTTGCATCTTGTTAAAGTGGAAACATCCGATTTGCCGTCATGTTAACTTGAGTAATTAGGCCCAACTTTGCATCTTGAATTCTACAAACTCCACCTTTGATAGAAACCTTGTATCCCTTTTCTTGCAATTGTCCCACACTAGGCAGATTTGTCTTCATGTTTGGAACGAAGAGCACCTTAGGATTGTTTGAGTAAAAAGTGTAAAACGTGGCAAAACATAAATGTCAACTTTCAGCATATTTTAATATTATTTTAAATTTTTAAATCAAACTAAAAATTATTTAATAATTAAAGGAAAAAATCGTAAAAAAGCATGAAAGCATAAAAAAAGCACCTAGGCTCGAAAAAAATAAAAATAATAAAAAGAAAAAAGCACGAGGCAAGACATTTTGGTTGGGGGAAGGTCATTAAGTAAAGCACACATTACTCCCACACATACAGTGAAACAAACCAATGATGAATCGATTTATATATATTGTCAGAGAATATTGTAGCACGAGATATAATTCACATCTCAATATCCTTCCGAAAATTGAGATTAGAAGATGATTTTTATCAATCAGTGTATTGAAAAAGGCATATTCTAGAAAATTAAGCAAATGGAAAAATAATACAATTCATACATTAATTCCTAGCAAGATATCATATCCAAATAAATCAATACATCAATTCCTAGCAAGGTTTCTACACTCTTAACAGTGAGAGTAAGATCCGGAGTTCACGGGGATTGAGCATCAGACTGAGGGTTGGAGGAAACAGGTTCCTTCCCGTTCACACTGAATTCTGTAACCTGCTGAGGTGATGAAGGAGGCTGTTCCACTTTTTCATTGTTCTCGGGATGAAAATTAATTGGAAATTTCGTTACTCTAGGCTTCTCCGTCAAAATATTTCTTTGGACCTTATCGATCAAAACCTTCTGAGGAGGTTCTTCTCTTAGCTGCTCATTGTCATAATCGTTGTTGACATAGTATCCCACTCGAAGGAATTCTTGTCCCTGATACGAGCATGTCAGAAGTAGGACTGTAACTCCAATAATGTCTTCTTCGCGGATCTTTAAGGGGTCTGGGGGATCAGCCTGGGAAATTTTGAGAAATAATCATGAACAATTCAAACTAAAACTAAGGGCTTAGCAGTGAAATGCATAAAGACTACCTGAAAAACAAAGCGGTAGTTGCCAACATTAACAGGACCAACAAGCACACTTTCTAGAACTTGGTCGTAAGTTTCATCCTCAGCTGATCCCACATATACCAGCTTCCATTCCAAATCTGTAATGAACTTGAAACCATTATATGGCCGAAGAAAGGACCTTCCTCCCTAACATTTAGATAGTTAATCATGGAAATTGCTAGAAAGAGCCTGGACAATCATTCAGAGACAACCATGTAACCAATTAAATTGGAAAGGACACAATGAATAAAGACCCATTTTTCCCTTCAATTCTGCTCCAGAGTCAAATTACATAGATTGCATGGATATGATTACAGAGTGGGGTGGCGAAGAAGAGAAACAACGTATACCCATTGACACAGGAAAGTTCCTTCTGGCTAACTATATTATTGGAATACAGGTAGTTTTTCTGGAATTGGCATGAGTCATGACATCAAATGTTTGTGACTGTCAAAACTATTGTCAATCCTGTCAAAATACTAAAATAAGAGTGCTATGAACAATGCATTCTATGTTTTCCTCCCAAAGCATACTTCAAATCTAAAAGTAGTTTTGTTCAGTGAATTCGATTATGTTAGACCACTAATTGATTTTAATCATAGTTATATGGTGGTAAGATACAATAACTCATAGCTACACCTTATCTGTTTCGTTTGAAACTTTATAAAATGTTAAAACTTCGATAATTAAGCTCAAACTTTTTACACTTTACTCTGGTGGGTAAATCACATCATCTGGATATAAATGTTTGATCTTTGCTGGTGGCCAGCTCATCGATTATTATTTATATAATTAGTTTGGAAACAAGAGAAAATAATATCATAGGATTGGAGGATTGGAGATTATGAGAGTTAATCCACATACAGGAGCAGACATGTTGACTTTATATTATTGAATTCTGTTTTGAGATAAATTTTGTTTGCAGCAATTGCCTGACCCTGACACCTGTGCTGTCTTAGAGTTTAATACATTGTTAATATAATTCTCAATGGAGTTCATGTGTTTGTAATATCATTAAGGAGTTCACGGTATCAGCATTAAGGAGGCTGTTGCATGACATCCACTAATCTACAACTAGCATACTTCAGGATTGTTGAAAGTTTCTTATTTGTTTTTTGAAAAAAGCTCCCACAGTATTCTAAAGTTCTAAGTCTTGATTGACTACTCGAGCAACTTGGCATACAATTTCAGTTTAAATAGCTTCATCCTTACCACACATCCTGATCATATTCTCTTTATTGCAGTTACATTCACTTCTAACCAGCTTCCACACCACAAACTTCAATCTTATAATATGTATTGTCTCTTCAATTAACCAGGCTTAAAGAGAGGAAGAATCTATATTGCTACATGGAAATAAACTGATCTACTAAAGGTTGGCAAATTAACTAACCACATGTAGCCATGACCAAAAGTTTTTGATTTATCTCCAGATTGAATGGACTAAAGAATAACTTCTTGAATATATTCTGCTAAAATCTAAGAGAGAGAATTACAGAATATAAGTGCTTCCCCACCCCCTTGTCAAAAAAAGTAGAAACTGAGAGATGCAAGAGGAAGAAAATCTTCTTTACTTTACTTTCTTTCTCGTTAAAAATATAATGAGCTCAGATGTGAATCATTCAATCATTGTTCTTATTTCACATTCAATGTACAAATTAGGAAGATATTCAATTCACATAAAATGTGGTTTCTATTTGAACTTTAAGATAGCCCCTCCCATCATTAGAAACATAACTCTTGAATTGAGTGTCCTTTTCGATTATCCTGTTTTGCAGCTTACTTAATGTTAATATCAAATTTATGTATAAAACATTGCTAGTGGCAGTGACAAAGGCCTTTAAATGCCTCTACTGTTAGATATCTAAAGGCTAATTATTAATTAAGTTTCTTAACCTTTATTTCAAACCCATTTTACTTTTTGAATTTATCTTTTTAGATTAACTCTTATATTAAGTAATTCTGACGATATCCAATCACCAAATCAATAATCTGACTCTCTAAAAACTCTGTGCATAAAAGTAACAATGAGACTGGAACCTTAGTACTATATAACTTGAATTCATAGCCAAAATTTCGAACATTTCAATTAATCAAACTCCACAAAGAAAAAAATATACAAGAAAAAACTTTTGGTGTATGCATTTTTATTCCGGGAAGGGAGTTTGTGTGAGTTGTTAATTTCAACAATAGCTGGATACTCAAATATAAACAAAATTCATTTCCAAAAAAAAAAAACCACATAATTATATTTGCAAAATCTTAAAACTAAGATCCAAAAAGGAATCGGGTCATTACCGTCTTTTAGGGGAGTCAGGCATTCATAAGAGATTTCGAATTGGAAAGGGTTGAGAAAGGGGGCCGGGTTGTCCAAAACGGTTACGTCTTTTATGTTGACGGCGCTCATCGTCCGATTCACTGGAATCTACTCTGATAATTGCGAATTCAAGCTCTTTTGAATAGTAATCAGAAGCCCTAGAAATGAAATTGAAACGGAAGAGGCAAAAAATTAAAGCAAGAAAATTAGTTAATTGGATTAACGGCAGAAATCAGGCATATATATATATGGTATTCGAATCGAAGGAGCTCATGAAAGCTTTAACTCGGAATTTGGCGGGAGAGTTTTTAAGCTGAGAATGGAAACCCGCCAAAATGAGAAGAAATGGGAATAGATTCTAGACCGTGCTATTCATACATGGGGGTTTATACCCTCATTTACTCGAGCACACCTGCCCCCCTCACAATAGGGGGGTCACGATTATTTTATTCATCGTGGGCCCTCCCCTCATGTGAGAGGAGTATAAACGGGGGTGTAAACCCCCGTATACGAATGGTTTTACCCTAGATTCTATTAGCGACTACCTTCTTCGGATCCAGGGAAAAGTTCGTCTACAGTCATTGAAATTTCTGAAATTTTTTAATTAGGTCACTAAATTTTAATTTGTCTCAATTAGGTCATTAAGGTTCAATTAAATTTTAAATTTCACCACTTAGTCACATGGAATCTCCTATGATCCCAAGCTGACAAAATTTACTTCGTTGACAATCATAACATGCCTCTATTTGATTTAGATAAAAATCAAATTTTATTAAATTTCGATAAAAAATGGTGGAATGTGTGGTTAAAAAATTGTGAAACTCATAAAATGTGTAATTAAAAAACACCGTTCTAAAAAGTGTAAAGCGTAATTAGGCGTCAAGTTTCGAACTTCACAAGTCTACGCGAGCCTAGACGTAAACATTTTTCTTATTTTTAATATTTTTTTAATTTTTTTATCATTCTAAAAATTATTTCATAATTAAATAAATATCTAAAATTATAAAAATACTACATATACTTAGGGTGTGTTTGATCCACATTATTTTGAAAGAATGTATTCTGGAATAGTAGATTGATGGAGAATTTGTGGTTGAAAAATAAGAAAAAATTATTCATGTGATAAAAATATTATTTTATTGAAAAATGTGTAGTTGAAAATGAGTAAAAGAATGAGAATGAAAATTTTAATGTGTACCAAACAGGGGCTTAATAGTTTCTACAATTAGTCAATTATATAATTTTCAAATTTTCGAAATACAAAAGTTAAAACTATTTTTCATATTTTCAATTTCAACTAGACAAATCCCACTTAATAAATTTATAGGAATTTTATACATACTTTCAAAGTTTTCAATAAACGATAAATCTCAAAACTATAATTACATTATTTAAATAGCAATGTAACTTAAATATTAATTTAACTCTTTGGGGGACTCCAATTCAATATCCTCTTTTTCATCCAATTAGTCTTTTTGTCGTCCGATACAAAATTATCCTTCTCGAACTTCCTTATTTCATTTGAGCATTTTTAGTACCTCCTGTAAAAAGAATTTTTTTTTTTTTTTTTAAAGGAGGGAAATAATAATAATAATAAAGAGCAACAAAGCGTGCTAGGTCGCTCATTAAGTGATCAACATTTAACCGCTTAATTTCATACTCACTGTTAAGTCATGATAGTTCGTCCACGACTTGTGTCGAAGCGTACTTTTTAAAACACCGGTTATAATTAGCTGATTTTGAATTAAATTTTAATAATTTTTTTTAGTTGAACCAAGCAGGAGTTATAATTTATCATTCATGTAATCACTGCGTACCTTAGGAATGAAGGTTATTGTCTTTAGATATATGTTTAAAATGCAATTTTTTTTCAACAATTTTATGATTTGGTTTATCAGTCAATTTGCCACGCAATGATTACATAAAAAAATTCACTGTAAAAAAACTTGGGAGAAAACATATGATGAACTTGTGAAATTTTAAACAAAATTCGAGTTCTATTACCCAATTTTAAATCAAATTGAAATTCGGTAACTCAATTTGAAACTAAATTGAATTTAAGTAACCTAATTGAGACAATCAAAATACTAGTAACCTAATTGAAATTGAGTTGAAAGCCGCGTATGAAAATGAAATTTACTCCATTATAGGTTAAATTGCACTTGATGTCCTTAATCTTTACACCATTTTACGCTATATCTCAATTTTTTTTTTTGGAGCTACTGTCCTCAATATTTCATATATTGGCAACAGTCATCCTCAAATGGTCACTCACGGTCTTCATCCAAAATCCCCGATAAGTAAGGGTGGAGCCAGAAAGATATATTAGAGTTGGCTGAATTTTTTTTATTTTTTATTTTTCAATCGACTCATACGACTATATCACTTGAGATTTAGTTTAAAAAGTTAAATTCATAACACTTATAATAATGTGAGTCGAAATATATCTTGAACATTCATAACAAAGTTCTAACAAATATATTTTTAACTAATAAAATTAAATATAGAGCATGTTACTTATTTTAATAATAACATCAATTTCATGGTCGAAATAAATAAATTCTTAACTCACGAGTATAAATAAGTAACATATGAAAAAATATATTAGAAAAAAATTAATTACTTTTAAGCTTAGTCAAACGTGGTACTTCATACCGTTCAAATGTCATTTATTTTTAATCAATAAAAATTATTTGTTATATAATAAACTAATTTGATTATAACGGAACTCTTTAAACTTAGTTATATATGTGTGTGTAAAAAAAAATACATAATTTGGTAACGAGTGATTTGCGTATCATGAATATGAATAAAATAAATATGTAATTGTTGTGGAGTCTTAAACTAAAATTGAATAATTGAACATTAGGTTTGGGTTGAGAACAAAGTTAGTTAGGCTAAAATTTGTTGTTGGGTTGGGCTAAAAATTTTATTGTTTTTTGAGGAAATTACAGCCACACAAGTTTTTAAAATACAATTTTCATAAATCCAAAATCATCTTTAATAATACATAAATCAGGTTTTAATTAATAATTTTTAAATTAATTTTTATTTAAATCAATTTTCAAACCCTAATTAATTCATTCTCTCACCTCTCTTTCTCTTTCTCTCAACCCATTTTCTCTCCCTTCCCTCTATCCCCGCCGCCACCACTCCACCGCCACCACCACTGGCACCACCACCACCTCTCTCTCACACTTCGCTCTTCAATCCGGTGAAATAGTAAGCGCAGTCGCATGTGGAGGCAGATCTGGTGTGTGCGTGCGTGGTGCGTCGGCTTCGCGATCCTGAAGAAAACCCCTGCTGTTAGTTTCCCCGATATGATGGGAAGGAAAAGTGTGAGCCGAAGCCGCTCCGGAGCAAAATCAGCCGCGATGGATCCAAGCAGATTGAGCAGTCATCCGGGGGTGAATCTTGCGATGGATCTAGTGTTGATGGTGGATCTAGCGGATCGACGATGGATCCAGCTGAGATGAGGTCGTGTGTGGGTCTATGTTTGAGCTGTGTTGTTGTAGGTGGTGGTGACAGTGGTCACAAGTGGTATCGAATTTGGGTTTGGAGATGATTTTGGTGTCGAATTTGGCGACGAAGGAGATGGAATTGACACAGCCTTTATTGGTGGCGTTAACTTCAATTATGGTGGCAATTTGGTGGTGCGATGTGGGGGGGGGGGGTGAATCTGGGTGTGTGGTGCGGTGCATGACGTGCAGTGGTGGATTTGTGCGGTGCGGCGGTTACGGTTTTGGCGTGTTTAGGTGGCAGTTGTGGTGGTTTTGATCGGGTAGAGGCTATGGTTTTTGTTGTCGGAGTTGGTAGTGAATTTGGCGGTTGCGGTGATGTTTGTTGCTGGGAAGTGGTGGTGATGGTGATGGTGATGGTGGTGGTGCCAGTGTTGGCGGCGAAGACGACAGTGGTGTTGTGTTGGTGGTGGTCACAAATGATTTGTTAATTGTGACCAATAAAATGATTGGTGTGTACCAATAAATAATAAACTGTGACCTACAAATTTATTAATTTGTGACCAATAAAAGTAATATGTGACCTATAATTTGATATTCTGTAACCATAAAATAAGTTGTGTGACTTATAAATTTTGTTATTCGTGACCGATGAACAATTGTGACTTTTAAATTTTTAATTTGTGACCGATGAACGAACCGTGACCTATAAAATTTTTGAATTGTGACCTTAAAATTTTTGAATTGTGACCAAATTGTGACCCTAAACCTATAAATTTTTTGAATTGTGATCAAATTGTATAAATCTGTGACATTTATATATTTATTAATTAAATTATAAATAAATTTTAATGAAAACCTGATTTTTGAAATTTAAAACCTCAAACCTTAATTTTAAAATGGTGATACTTAAATACCTTATTTATGTATTGTTCCCTTATTTTTTATTTTTGTCAAGAATTTGGGCTAAGTCTACCAATTTTAACAAACCAATTTTCTTCTAGGTTGGGACAGGGCCCAGCTCAGCCCAGCCCAGCTCAGCCCAGCCCAACCCCCCTCTCCATCCACCACTGTCGATAAGTAGGCATAAAAAGACAAAATTGTTTTCAAATTTAGAACAATAAAACAGTGTGTGTCCAGGAGTCATTTTGTATCTAATTTGTAGAGAAATTCATGTCGTTATACAATGCATATTAGTGTTGTGCCGCAATTATTGACTGAAACAAGTGGAATGACATTTTAGCCACTTAACCATTTTATTCACTCCTCTTTAGAAAATGACATTTTTGGAAATAAGCTCACGTGGAGTCAAAATTGCTGTACAAATGGGATTCACTTACCTTTACAACAGTCAAAAAATGGATTAAATCTGGACAAAATGACTCACAGGCACAGGCTAAATATAAAAAAAATTACGGAACTAACATTTCACAAATACCATCAATCCCTACTTAGGATTTCATCTAAAAACTCCATTAAGGCAACATAAGAAAAAAAAGTATTATCTTAAAATTTAAACAAACGGAAAAAGAGAGACTATTAGATTTTGATAAAATTTAATGAAATTTATGGTTAAAAGTTGGGAATCTCATGAAATATATTTGTCCGACAAGCCTAGAGTAACGAAATTTC